AGGAGCTCCCGCCAAGCCTGGATGAGTTCCTGCTGCCCACCGAGGCTGACTACACCCAGGACTTGTATGTCATTGGGGTGCAGGAGGGCTGCTCTGACAGGTAGGCACCGGCTTGGGCCCCCTCCAAGCCCCTCGGGCCCAGCATTATCTTCTGTGGACAGCAGTGCTAAGTCAGGCCTGAGTCTGAAGCTGTGGGCCTGAGGCCCCATGTGCTAATCTCCATGCCAGGCTGGACATGCAAGTTGGTTTCTTTACAGATACTGATGCAGATAATTTGAGATAGGCAGTTTTCATTTTTTTGTAAACCAATAGTTGATTTACAAGGCTGTAAAGGTAGCAAGGAACAGTGCTGGATTTTTTTTAGGCCACTTTGGCCCTCCGCAGGCTCTTTGTTGACCCAAAGGGCATCATTGGCCGTCCTGACACAGGATGTAGCCTGTGGGCATCCCAGTGAGTTCCTGGGGCCTGTTTGGCACATACCGTGGGGAGTGGGCACCAGGCACTGTAAGGGAGACCCCTGCCCTGCGAGCCCAGCCAAGCAGAGGGTGGGACAGAAGTGCTTGTGCGGGTCCCACAGGGATCTGGAACAGAGGCAGACTGTTGGGACTTGGCCTCAGCCCCAGGAGGTGGCCTTCCTTTTGCCCATCCACCATTCTCAGTGCAAGAAGATGGAGCTCAGTCTTGGGGAATCCCCAGGAGTCCTTTGGGGGCCTTTCCAGCTGTGCTCCCCCCACCCCAGCCGCCTACTTCTTTCCCACAGGCGGGAATGGGAGACACGCCTTCAGGAGACACTGGGCCCCCGCTACGTGCTCCTGTCCTCGGCAGCCCACGGGGTTCTGTACGTGTCCTTGTTCATCCGCAGGGACCTCATCTGGTTCTGCTCAGGTAGGCACCATGTCCCACAGCCCCAGGTGCACTCAGAGAGTGGTGGTTCCACACAGGGCTGCTCTCAGACAGATGTACTGGTCCTCTGGGACTTGGCCCTGGAGACTGCTGCGTGACACACAGGCACAGGTGGCGTGGGGCCTTCGCGCAGGTTCACTGAGGCTGTCCACCCCACCCCTCACAGAGGTGGAGTGCTCCACGGTGACGACACGCATTGTGTCCCAGATCAAGACCAAGGGGGCCCTGGGCGTCAGCTTTACCTTCTTCGGCACCTCCTTCCTCTTCATCACGTCCCACTTCACCTGTGAGTCGCTGTCAGCCAAGGCCCTGGTTCCCAGTCACTCTGCCTTGATAGGACCTGCTGTGCTCAGGACAGCCACTGAGGCAGAGCTGTCCAGAGCCTCACAGGGTGGGGTGGCCAGGCAGGTCCCTTGGACGTGTGTCTAGAAACCCATGTCCCCACCCATTTCCACCCTCACAGCTGGTGATGGGAAGGTGGCCGAGCGGCTGCTGGACTACACCAGAACCATCCAAGCCCTGGCTCTGCCTAGGAACGTACCAGACACCAACCCCTACCGTTCCAGTGCAGGTGAGCTGTGCTTGGCAGGTGCCTCGGGCATCTCCTCACTTGTTCTCTGCATGGTTTAGCAGGAACTGTTTAGGGGTATGAGAGTCAAGGTCAGGAAGTCACTTGGTACTGCTGCACAGATGGTGCGTGGACCTGTGAGACCCCCAAGTCCAGCTGGGCCACTCTTGCTCACCTGCTAGCTGGGGTCTGCATCGTTGCCACCTACCCTCCAGGGTAGTAAGGGTCAGAGACAGTGGCCAGTTCGCTATGAGGATCACTGCTTAGATGGCTTCTGGCTTGTCTACAGCTGTCCAAATCTGGACAAGCCAGAAGACCTCACTGCCTGCCTCCCCCACTCCCACCAGCTGTCCTGTGATTCTTGGGGGAGGGCACCCAGGTGGAGAAGCTCCATTGCTTGGCCTGGGGTTTGTGCATCTGTCACTGTGGCCACAGAAGGGGAGACCAGCATGGATGCACTTTTCCCTGTACCCAGCGGATGTCACCACCCGGTTCGATGAGGTGTTCTGGTTTGGAGACTTTAACTTCCGCCTAAGTGGTGGACGCATGGCTGTGGAGGCCATCCTGAAGCAGGGTCTGGATGTGGATGTGCCGGCACTGCTGCAGCATGACCAGCTCATCCAGGAGATGAAGAAAGGTGAGCAGCCTGGGGCTGGCCAGCACGTGTGGGCTTGTGCTGATCTGAGCTAGCCTGTGTTGCAGGGTCCATCTTCAAGGGCTTCCAGGAACCGGACATCCACTTCCTCCCATCATACAAGTTTGACATTGGGAAGGACACCTATGACAGCACCTCCAAACAGAGGACCCCCTCCTACACGGTAGGCACCCAGGCCAGCCTCTACCTCCACAGGCTGGCACTGAGGAGCCCTCTAATGCACACCACAGCCTGCCAGGCCAGTGACCCAACCTCAGAGTCTCTTTTGACTGATGGTGCCCTCCTCCAAAGATGCTGCAAAGCACAGGCAAGCTGGCCCTCAGACATGCTCCGAGTGCCAGGACAGCCTATGCCCCATACTCTCCCAGGCCACAGCTTGTTCTGCAGTCAGGGATCTGGAGGGAAGGTGGAGAGACTCCTGTACAACTCTGCTCCCTGCCAGACCTGAGATCCAGTACTGGGGCAGCTGTGGGGGCAAGGCAGCGCCCGATGGCTCCTAGAGGGCCAGGAGGAAGCAGGCACCACCCCACAGGTCTTTAGAACCCCAGCAGTAAAGCGTTTGAGGGTCGTGGCTGGAGGGTTGCTATAGGACAAAGCTGGGCAGAGGCAGGCAGGCCAGGCCTGCAGCAGAATGGCACCTCATCAGTGCTCCTGCTTCTGCCGTCTCTTCTGAAGGACCGGGTCTTGTACAGAAGCCGCCATAAGGGAGACATCTGTCCTGTGAAGTACTCTTCCTGCCCTGGGATTAAGACATCTGACCACCGCCCTGTCTATGGCCTTTTCCGGGTGAAAGTGAGGCCTGGCCGAGATAAGTGAGTATCCCCTGTGCCTGGCTCCCTCCCAGGCTCTGGCTGTGGCTTGGGCTGGGCAGGTGCAGTAACATGCACTGCCAACAAGCAAGGTGGGTGGGGTGCTGGCAGCCCCTGGGGTCCAACGTGAAGTTGCTGTCTAGGGAGCTGCTCCCAGTATCCTCAGGGTTGCCCAAGGAGGCTTGTCCTGTGACCTCAGGACGAAGGAAAGGGAGGAGGCGGCTTTAGGAGTGAAGTCTTCGAGATTGGCTGCCGTCTCTCCCAGTGGGCCCCAGGGAGAAGCAGAGCTAGCCCTGAAGGGCAGTGTGGCTGGCGGCCTGATGCTTGGAGGCCGTAACCCTCAGGTAGCCCTGGGGCTCCATCCAGGGGGCACCCTGGTCCAGGACGGCACCTGTGCTAGGGAGCCGAGGCATTCCTAACACTGCTTCTCCCTCACAGCATTCCACTAGCTGCTGGCAAGTTTGACCGAGAACTGTACTTGATAGGAATTAAAAGACGGATTTCGAAAGAAATTCAGAAGCAGCAAGCAATGAAGAATCAGAACCCCAGTACCATCTGCACCATTTCCTGAAGTTGTTAGAGGAGGACCTTTGACCTAGAGCTGCTGGAGAAGACTGCAGTGTGTGCTCCTGACACCTGTCATTCATTCTCGGGTCCTGACGCACTGCCACTAGGGCTGCCCTACTTTCTCACCAAGAAACCCCCAGGCCAGACTGCATCCCAGGAAGAAAGCTGCCTTCACTTACTTGGGCGAGCCTGTACTTAAGACTTGTCCCCACAGGCACCAAGGGGGGGGCTTCTCAGGGTATTGAAACTCCCATGACCTGCCTAGTGCCACAGCCTCTCCCTCCATTCCTTCATTTGCGGCTCCATACCCAGAGCCAGTTTCTATGTCCCACACAAGCTGGGCCCTTCCTCTCCACACAGGTGTATGGGGGTCAGGCCCTGGATCTGCCCTACAGCATGCTGAGGCCATGTTGGGGTCATGACAGTTGCCCTCTCCCAGGCCTTGAGCCCTCTCTTCCTTGGGCTGAGGCCCATGTGCTGATCCTATCTCCCCCACCCCCAGCTGAGTGAGGGCCACCTCCCTTCCCTCCAGAGGCCAAGCCCAGCTATGTGCTGCATCCGTTTTAGTGATCAGCAGACCATCTGCTTTTGTGACATCAGCCACAGGGTGGTGTTAACAGAGATGGTACTTCCTGCCCTGGACACTTAGGTTGGGCAGGGAAGCCTAGCTGGGGACTCTGTTCCTTAAAGAGGGCTTTGACCACATCATTGCTCTTTGAGTCTTATATTCTTGACAAGATACAGCCTTGAATGTACAGAGATCTAGGGACATCCACTCTAGTCTTTAAATTATTTATTTTTCCATATTTATATTTTTAAATAAATGCATATATAAAATCTTAAAAACTCTTTGGCCCAAAACTGAATGTTGGAAAGAAAGCCTGTGTGTACACCTTATTCTTACAGTGTTCTTGTTTTAAAAGGACATGGAACACAAAGGCAGGAAATTGACTCGGCTTGCAACTGCTGACAGTCTTGTCCCAGTCCCTGCTGAGCATTCCTCCTGCAGGCCAGAGGCAACGCGAGGGGAAGACTCAGGTGGACTGGGCTGAAGCCACAAGCAATCCCAGCGAACACTAAGACTTCTATTAATATCAGCTTCCAAAATATGGGATATAAACTTTAAAGCAACGCACCAATGTTTCTGATAAAGCGGGAGAGCGCCCACCATTCCACTTCAATAAAAATTCAATGGTCTGTATGTGTATTTTGCTCAAATGAATCTCAAATTCCAAATCAATGAACTGAAATTTCTGTTAGTAAGATTCCTGTGGAGCCAGCCTTGGAAGGAGGAAGGTTTTATAGGTTCTTTCTCAGGCCATTTCTGCCACTGGTGCCTCTGTCTTAGTCTGGCCTGAGTTGGAGAGTGCTGAGCCTAAAAGGTCAGAGGTCAAGAGCATACTGATGGACTTGATGCATTTAGATGACATTTCACATGGCAAATTAGTCTAGTAAAAAATTCAAATTAATATAAATGAAGCTGGTGAATTATGGAAAATAGGCTTCATAAAGAACCAAGTAAGGACTAGGATGATGGTGGTTTTTAAAATGGCTCTTGTTCTCTCAAACACACACTGTCCTTCAGCAAGAGTCCAGGTGTAGCCAGCCCCTGTCTGGCTACCAGAGTTCTCAAGAGTTCAGGACCAACTACACAACCTACCTCAGGAAGTGCCCATGAAGGTGACTTTCAGGTGCAAGTTAGTGGCAAAGGGAAGATGAACAGAAAAGGGGTATGGCCAGGGAGGCTGAGAGGAGGGAATGGGAAGGACTGGTGATTCGGGGCACAGACTCTGAGAAGAGCAGCCTAGTAGGTATGTGGTTAGGCTCCCAGGGTGAGGGGATTGCTCAGCAGTTGTTGAGGACCTAGGCCAGCACCCCTGCTCTGCCCCAGGTGCTCAGGGCACCTGCAGTGGCATCCTTCCAGTGAGAACAGTCACCTGAGGCACACTGGGACATCCCCAGGCTCCAGTCCCAGTTGACTGCGTTCCCACCAGCAGGCATCAAGCAGACCCTTCCACTGGACTCCCAGGGCGAAGGTTCCAGGTGTCCAGAGTGCAGTAACTACAGGAAAAGAATTCAACAACAAGCACACTCAGAAGCCAATTCACAAGCATGCCCAGAAGCCCAACTCCCTTGAGACATGCAGTCCCTCTATCTGCACTAAGAAAGGGCCATGCTTCCTGGCTCTGCAGACCTGGGGACTGCTCCCATCCGTGCAGCAGCACACTGCAATGCCATCCCCCTCCCCTCTGCTGCCACTATCAGTTACCACCGGCCCTCAAGTACAAGCAGCCCCAGCCCTGCACTCACTGATACCCTGGGGCAAGAAGCTTTGAGACACTGGGTTGGACTGGATGATTCCTCCTAGAGCAGGTTACCAAGGGCCTTTCCCAGCACCCTTGTGCTAGAGGGTGAGGGAGAACAGAAGGATAAGAGTCAGTCACCATCTTATTAGAGGAACAGGCTCAACTGCTTCTGCTCTGTTCAGTCAGCGTGCCCTTCAATGCCTGCCCGCCTGCCTTCCAGCTTGGGGTACAAAGGTCATGTTCATTCCCAGCTGGCAAATTCCAACCTCAAGGGTGTTGTGACTACTGCTAGCTCGGGTTTCAAAATCCTGGTGTTCACACTGTTCACGAACCACACACATCTCCACTGAGTTCACACCCAAGGCAACTCACATGGAGACACCTCCCTGCAGCTGGGGTCCCTGAAGATCCTGGAGGTCTCTACCGAAAGAGCCGGTAAGTTCGCGGCAGTCGCCCATCTCTGCTGGCCAACGCTGCCTGGATGTGCTCGTAAGTAGGCAGGTTGGTCAGATCCCCCAGGGCGGCCACAGCAGGCTTCCCACGCAGCATCTTAGACGCAACCCTCCTGACATCTTCTGGCTTCACATTGCCTGGTGTAGAGTGAGCGAGGATGTCAGGCAAGCACAAGCAGCTCCTCACAAAGCCACCACCACCATATGGCTGAGGGGCTCACTGTTCCCAGCACG